CAGATCTTGATTTCTGAAAATTGAAAATGCTTTTCTTTGTCTTGTTTCTAGTCCAAACATGTAGAGATTCTCAAATCAAGAACCAATAAGACAATAAATAAAAATGATTAATAATAATAAACCAAATAATCCATCATAACATGACAATATCATGAGCAATATGACAGCCACATCCCTGTCAGTAAATCCTCTCCAGAGTCTGGTGTATGAGTAGACAAATGAAGCAGATTTTTAAGGAGACACTGTTGATTAATCTTTAATAATCCACCCCAAAATCTCCTCAAAAGACACTTTAAATAGACGTTACATTTGAGACAGTACCGAACGAACCACTCGGCTAGCTAACGTCAGGGTAATTGGACTCATTGAAGTACAAACTAAGTAAAAACCGACGGCATACAAGTGTAAGATAACATTTCAGAGGCAAAATGCAAACATAAACATTTCCCACACAAGCAGGGAACATTTCAAATGAGATATTGCTATCAGGTCAATTCCTAAAAAACAATAATAGTCAGTCATTTGCTGGTTTAAAAAAAGTGCATGAAGACGAACGGTATAAAACATGCTGCTCAGACAGCCGAACGCCACCGATAAACGGAAACAGCCACAGATAATCTACTACTGGAAGTTATTTTGTCCTCTAGAGGAGCATAGCTGTGCTATCATGCTGAAAGTCTGATCTCCGTCACATGTCTGCTTGTAACTCCTTGAGGAAACAATAATCGATCCAATGTATAGGGACTAACGTATTGACAACGTTTCAGGCTACGTTTTCATTGCTTTCTAAAGGCCAGCACTGCTCATGATGGCTCTGACCTGCAAGAAAGAGCTCTTTTGTCTTGTTTACAGTCTAAATATCTCAAAAAGCTTCAATAAAGCAGCCAAGCAAAATATATAGTCCTGTTTTCAGAAATAATTAGGTGAGTTTTTCTGTAAAACAAGCAAAATAATCTGCAGATGTGCTAATGTTTAGATATTTGAACTAGAAACAAGACAAATCGCTTTTTGCAGTGTGACCTTGCCGTGCGCTCATGATTATCACGGTTCAGCAGTATATTCAGCAAGAGAAATTCAGATATATTGACAGGAATCCACACATTCAGAAATTTAGGGGAAGATTTGGTCATGCAAATTCATCAATCGCGGTTTCCATTCATGTTTATGCACATTTTGGATTACTTACAACATGCACAGAACCATTACCTCTGAATAATCCAGCCCTTTTCACCACACTAACCACTGTGAATGGAGTATATTATCAGAGTATACACAGCAGGCATGTCCAAACTCGGTCCTGGAGTGTCGGTGTCCTGCATATTTTAGTTCTGATCCAAATTAAACACACCTGAAGCAGCTAATCAAGCTCTCTCTAGGTATACTAGAAACTTCCAGGAAGGTGTGTTGAAGGAAGTTGGAGCTAAACTATGCAGGACACCGGCCCTCCAGGACTGAGTTTGGACACCCTGATATACAGGAATCAGAGAGAGTGAAATTCAATAACTTTAAGACCTTTATTAAAGACATGTTAAGACCTTATAGCTAGGCATGGGTCGATGACCGGCTTCAAGGTTTATCTCGGTTTGGTCAAATCAAGGTTTTAATACCGCTAAAACGTTATACCGTACCCAACGTATGTGAATATCTGTGTTTTTGAAACCAACTAAACAAGCAGAACTATTCAGCCTGACATGTTTATCCATTCATTCATTTTCTTTTCAGATTAGTCCCTTTATTAATCAGGGGTCGCCACAGCGGAATGAACCGCCAACTTATCCAGCTCGTTTTACACAGCGGATGCCCTTCCAGCCGCAACCCAACACTGGGAAACACCCACACACACTCACATGCATTACAGCCAATTTAGCTTATTTAATTCGACATGTTTACTGTGCCAAAATATTATAAATGTTTCTTAAAATAAAATAAATTGTGTTCAATGTTTATTTTACCCAGACATTACAGGCTAACACCTTTTTAAAGACCTTCTCAGAATATTTTAAGACCTTGTCATCACCAAGTTCATATCAGTTTCAAATCTTTAACTTAATAAACAGTAGTAGTTAAATAAATGAATGGAGCACAACCGTGCAACAGTACTCAGATAAGCTAAAAACAAACAAAGAAACTAATTTTGAAAGAATAAATGACATAGTTGTTTTCAGCGACAGGCTTCAGCCAGTGTTTAAACTCGTCTTTCTCCAACCAGGAGTTCGCAAACGAACATTATCTCATTTGCTGTCTGTTTCGCTCTAGTTTCACTACATGTGGAGAGCGTCACATCACCTTCTAGCGTTTGTCGCAAATTACGTGACATCACCCAGACGGAGGAGCTTGACCGGACGTGCCGGCCCGAACCAATCAAATGGATCGAGCACACTGTTGTTAATATTAGGAGGAAAATACAAATATTTATGCTTTTTTGGAGTATGGATAACACTTAAACGAAATTTAAGAGCTCATACAAACGCGATTAAGATTAAGACTTTTTAATACCTTTTCAGGGCTTTAATTTTCTCGTAACTGATTTATCCACTTTTAATACTTTTTAAGACCCCATGGACACTCTCCATTAAAAAAAATAACTTATTTTAGAGCAGTGACCACAATACCGTGATACCGTGGTATTTTTATGTAAGGTTATCATCCTGTCAGAAACTTACACCGACCCATGCCTACTTATAACCCAGGGGTCACCAACCTTTTGGAAACTGAGAGCTACTTCTTGGGTACCGATTAGTGTGAAGGGCTACCAGTTATTAAATAACACATTATTCTTAATTTACTTTTAATTATATGTTATTATTAATAATTAATAATATTCAGAAGACACTGATCATGTTAATGATTTCTCACAGTAGTTTTCAACAATGATTTAACAAGTTAGATAAATATCAATATGCAACACTTCATTTGTCTGAAATTGTTTTCAAAGTTTTTTTTTTAATATATAAAAATATATAATAAAAGTAATTTTCAAATTTACACCAATGCAAGTGTGATTTAAAAATAATACCTATAAAAAAGTAGATGCATCTTACTCATATGTGGCGCTATGGTGAGCTATTTTTAGAACAGGCCCGCGGGCAACTCATGTGAACCTGGCGGGCTACCACGGGCACCATGTTGGTGACCCCTGTTATAACCACTTTAGGTTTTAAGCAGAATTACTAGCAAGGTTTTAACTTACAGTATATTTACTAAATATTAATTTAAGAAACTAAACTAAAACTAAAACATTATGCACATGCTGAATAAAAATCGATTAAATCGAGCTAATTCAGCAGGTTGGCGCCTAAAATACTGCAGGAAAAATGGTGTGGCCTTGGTTACTGCAGTAAATAAAGCAGCATGATGTCAAATCTAGCAGGATTTCATTGATTTGATAAACTGCACAGCATTCTGTTAATGGCAGATTTAATTCAGGCAAACTTTAGCACACAGCCATACACTGCATGATCAAAAATGATATTAATTTTAAGACCTTGGAAAATAGCATTTATTAATACTTATTAAGGCCCTTGAATTTCTCCACATTGATTTATCAACTTTAAATACTTTTTAAGACTGCGGACACGCTGATTATGCACAGGGACTTTTCATTTTCTGTAAGCCAGCTCAAGCACTTCTGGTGAACTGTCATGCCATTATAAAATCGCTGAATTTGAGCTTTGGTTTCTAATAAAATCAGTAATCTTCACTTTCTGATTGATATATGATATAATGTGTGTCTCAGATCAGATGAGAAGAACTGCATTAAATTCCACTGTCCTGCACCATGTCTTCATTATATGAGTTTCTCTGCTCGCCCACTGACGCCACTTGTTTTCATCTTGTTTTATGTCCTGACAACACATCACGCAACAAGATTCCAGCGATAAGTGATTTGTCTATCTGCACCAAACGCGACGGAAACATTTAAGCAGCAGCCACTGCACTCATGATGAAACAGCAATAGCTTTTAATCTAATGAATCCATATTAATGCTCTTTAACATTATTAATAGGCTACTGACGGACCGATGTTGTTGGTTTGCGCTGAATTCTGACTTTCATTTTCAAAGCATCGGCTAGCTATTTTATTTTCAAGATCTGAGGTGGCAATACATGTCATGTAAATGCGAGCATCTATCAGTAAACACATAATCAGTACCTGAGCAGATCGTTATCATATGGTATATGACATTGTTCTGTCGTGATGTTGCGGAAATTGAAAATTTAGATTCTAAATAGAAATTTCGTGTGATGGTTAGCACAAAAAACTCCTTTTAACATGAAATAGCGAGCTTTTATTGCAACCCAAGCTCATTCTGGAAACGTAGCCCCGCGGACGTTATTGGAGACCGCGATTTACGTGGCCGGAGGTACGTAAGGCCAGGTTTAGTTTTTTTCGAGCGAACGCTGCGGGGCGGTGTGGCGCCGCTCCGCTCCTCCTCTTCGCGCTCGCTGGCAGACGGCTCGCCTCTGAGTGAAGGGCTTTCCCGATGCAACCAGTTTGTCCGCTTAGCTCACAGCATTGC